ACATAATAATCATAATATATAGGTATGGACGTATATGATTAACAGTTCATATACTATATTAGTGTATGAACCAGATGGCAGACACTATAATATAATATTATCTAATGCAAGTAGGTAGATACCTATTTACCACGTCTTTAATTATGCCTCTTATAATTAATCTTTTTTTTTAACGTTTATAAAATACATTATATAATAATATAATTAATTTAATATGATCAAATGATTGTAATTTTAACATAATAATATGCAATATTTTCGTTACAAATTTCAAAACTATTAATAACAACTAATGGTTTCTACTAATGCGTGGTTCAAAAGATGAATCAACTTTTACAGAAGTCACTGACCATAATTTAGAAATCAAAAACCTGAAATGTGTGTTATTATCGATAAGTTCTTAACTATTGGCTAAGTCGCTAAGATAATAATTATCATAAGTTTTAATTTATAAGTATATATTAATTATTTATATTTATATAATCAAATTATACACATTACAAAATATGAATATCAAAAGACAATTATAGTAAATATTTATGTATATATTAAACGTGACATAGCTAAATTTGTAAATTTAATGAATTTTCAAGTCGATAAGTTATAATATTTCTGAGGTCCAATCCGTACAACTATTGTCTTTATACTATGTCATTGCATACGTGATACATATTTATCAGTTTTTTCTTTCTAGTATATTCAATTAACAAACATTTAGACATAAAGTTGTGTATCTATTATATTAAGTACAAGTAATGATAGTAAATAGTGACTAGTTAGTATATATAGTGAGTAGTAATTAATCAGTAAAGTAGGTAATACCACTTTGATTTATTTCAAAATTGACAAGATTACGGACTATATATCACAGTACTATCTTTATTCTGTACCTATTACTATAGATAATATATGTAAGTATATCTAGCTAAATTATTATTATTGATTAATTTACTTGCTATATAGGTAAATTATATCCCTATATTAGGGAAATTAATAGGTCTCTATACTTAAAAAGCTACAAGTACAATGAATTATAACATTTATTAGAAATTATTAATATTAAAACAATAAAAAATCAAAGACAATATTGTATAATATGTAATGTGTCTACCTACTAACAATTAAAAAAATTATTGTGTACTGTTAGTTACGTATTTATAAACATAGAATCGTGGTAAATGATACAAATTATAAATGCAATACAGCGATTATTTGTGTGAACCAGAATATACGCTTTCGTTTATTTTTAAATTATGATTTGTACATATTATACATAGGTAAGATGAAAATTACAAGTCACGTTTTCAGTCGTAAGATCTAATTGTATACACAACTGAATAAACGGAAAACGCTTCTTCCTGATACAATCCTCAATTGATTTCGAATAAAAAAACTTATACTTCCGTTAATTATTGCTTTTTTGATTTTTTAAGCAACCATCAAATATTATTTAAAAAAAAACCATCGAAGACATTAATTTAAACAAGATAATATCTGTTGTATAAAAAATTATTAATGAATATAGACACGCAGATATTCGATTAATATTAATCGATCTAATACAATTTATCATAGAATTATTTTTTATTTGTTTCAGTAGGTAGCTAAATATCAGATTTTATTTACAATAATAATAAATTATAACAGAGATATTATTTAGTAGTAAAATTATGTTTTAATTATTATGTGTTGTGATATCAGTACTTGGATTTTTATATATTTCTGAGTACAGCAAATTTTCCAAACAAAAATAATTATTTATTATAAATTATAATAATACATACGTAAAATTTATAATATACATATTTATAGTATTGTCAATTTTTGTCTAACGTTATGTTTTTTTCTCAATACGTAATATATTATTGATGATAAAATAATGTTTGTATTTTTACTTTTATTTTTTTATATTCTATGTTTAGTATGCCCGGTGAATTCGCTACTGCGTGTTATATAATATTAAACAAACGAATGGCATTCAATTTAACACCACTGTGGTGTATTTTATCGGTTATTTAATTGTAATATTATATTATCTATATTTCAGATATTACAAATTACAATAAATTTACTTAAAATTTTAGTTAATGATATAATAAATATGAAATTATGTTAGGTTAAAACTTAAGTTATAATAATAAATTATATTTATTAAAATTGAATTTATTATATAACTCTTAATAATTATTAAACTATATTAATTTACATCACCATAAATTATTGTTTTTAACTTTTAAATCAAGACTTACAAGTGACGAATTGTACGGTGTGGATGAGCTGTCGGTATATAGATACTTATTAATTAGCTTAAAATTAATCTAAATATTTTAAAAATTCCTATTTATTCTGTATCGTAAAAAATAATATATGTACGTAATGATGAAAAGTCTCAAGTCCTTATTATTTATATATTTAGAATAATTAAAACAAAATAGTAAATAAAATCGTTGTTTTTTCGTTTAACTATCCAATTTTGTCAAAATTGAATATTTCAAATGTTTAAAAATAAATTTAAGAACAACTTGTTAGGAAACTCATACTCGTTTTTCAATTCTTTGTTTTTAAAATAAAAAAATGTATACATTTTAAAAACAAAATAATTTGGAAATTTACGAGATTTTGACAAATTTTACCAAGATTTATAAAAATAAAATGTGTCTATGTATTATTGATACTATTCGACTAATGAGAACAACTTATGTGGAATCTTATGCTATATTTTCCAAGTTTTTTGATCAAAAATACATTTTTTTATCAGTACCTATACCTACTTATTATAATTAAGAAAATTAGAAAATTTCAGATATCCAAAATTATTTTAAATCAGCCTAAATAACGGGTATAGAAAATGATAATTTAATCAATTGTCAGTTCTTTTAAATTACTACGAATAATGATTTTGAATTACAAGTATAACAAAAAAAAAAAAACTAAAATCGTTAAGGAGAAATCGTTGTTTACGGCGTCGTGAATAGGCCATCAAAGATACATTAGAGTTGCCACTTGTCTGTCTGTTTTACCGATAACGTACGACTTCGCTGAAAATACGGTAACATGTCTAAACACATGTTTTTATGCCGTATTAGACTTTGAAACGTCTCCATGTAGATTCTATAGATTGAACATTGGCTCCTATTTGCGGATCAACGAAGTTAGGCTGGCGATTTATAGTCTTATGCACATGGCCGTGATCATTTAAACTGTTGTAGGCCCTCCATTCGTCCGAGTGAATTGTGGACCCGACTTCTACTTCACGTTTAATCATGAGAAGTAACGTAGCTCTATATCTCTTTTCTAACATCAAAAATCCACGGTCAGTTACACCAACATCTCGTTTACAGTACAGTCCAAATGCCCGTCGAAATGACTCGCCGACTTGGACTATTACGCCGATTCCTCCGGTTTTTGAACGAAATTCAAAACGATCAAAGCAAATGTCTCGACACGAATTAAACCAATCGGCAACAGTATATTATCTTGTTCTCCAGTCCATTTTTCAGTATTTTTTACGTTCACTTTATTGCACCAATACCAAACTAACTCCCCTATATGACACAGACTTAGACCACTGATGTTTTTTTCAGTTTAACGTCAACTAAGAATTTATTTTGTTTTCAGATGGAATGAAATGTTTGACATCTTACCTTCTGACAACGTAAATACTTTTCTTTAATAACGTTACCCTGGCCATTAAAGCCGCCCGCAGAAATTTTTCTCGGGGGGGGGGGGGCAGCGAAAAATAATACCCTTACCATAAATTCAGTTTTTTATATCACATCGTAAAAAATTTATTTATTTATTTTAATATTGCAAGTGTAACCTTATCAGTTATCAGTCCTCCTTATCGCCCTCCAAGGCGCTATATAAAATGCAAATAAATGCAATAAAAATTGAGTAATATCTTAATTAGCGGGAAGGGGCGTGGCCCTCCCTGCGGGCGGCCTTGCTCGCCATCACATTTGCGAGTGTTCTTCAAATATTCCTTAAAGCCCTTGTTTGAATCGATTTTCTGGCATACTTTAACAATGAGCAACACACCATATGGTTTTAAAAAATTGTCGTACGTTTTGTCATAGTAAATAACATGTTAATAAAATGTATTTAACTAAGTACACATCATTTTTGCGAGCCAACCCAAAAGGCAAATTATGTATATTGTAGTCATATGATATATGTAAAGTGTAGGCTGTAGACTACTTTATTAATATTTAATGTTTATAATTACGTGGTTATACCTGCAAAGTAATTTTCGGTATAACGTAGATAACATGCAAAACGATCTAAGTTTATTTATATAGATAGCATACGATGCGAGTTCCAATTATCATAATAGTAAAATAAATTACTATAAGTGATACGTCTATAAGTCTACATAATATTTTAAATACCTAGGTATATTAGCTGTATAATAAATATACTTAAAAACCGTTTTTCTTGAAATTGTATTTTGTATGCAATTGAATTCTAATTTAAATACTTAACACACACTAACTCTTAAATGACTATGTAACGGTGTGGTTACCTATTTACCCCCTTTCTTAATATGAATTCCACTTAAAGATTGTTTCTTTGAATGTTAAAAAGTAATTAATTAAAAAAATTAAGTTTGAACTCTTAAAAAGTAAAGAGCCTTAAGCACAAATGCATGACAATGAACCAAAGGACATATTATGATATTACACATTATAGGTACGTACTCAATTTAAGAGAAATTAAGAAATATAAATTACATAAAATACAGTTCAATATTTTCCCGAGGAAAAACAAATTTAACGCCCCACCTCATTGAATCAATCTGCCATAAAATTACAATTCACATTAAATAAACAATACCAAATATTACAGTATAAAAATATTTTTTTTATAGTTCAATAAAAATTAATAATAACAATTATTCAATTGCACGAAAAAAAACTAAAGTTTACAAATAAAAAACAAGTTTGAAGATTTTAGTAATATATTATTATAATACACAATAATAATAGTCAATGTTTCTACGGCTTTACAAATAAAAATCATAAGGGTTGGTTACAAATCATTGATGTTATATCTTTGGATCCTAAAAAAAGTTTAACAGTATGAAACTTAAAATGGTTATTTTTAATGACAACCATTTTAAATTTTGTTTTGCTATTATTACATATGTCAACAAACAATTCATTAGAATAAGAAATTGTATTTAATCCAAGAGAACAAAACAAATCTATGGTTTTCACATTTATTATTGTTTTAGGAAGTTCATATAGTTCATCAACTATTATCTTCTGATGTATACATACTTCGTCTACAAGTTTTACTTTAAAGCTTAATTTATGTTCACCCATATATTTTACTCTTTTGTATTTTGTTTTAATTTTAGCCACATATAGTTTGAAAACTTCTGGATTGGAAACAGTCCGAAATTTTTTAGTAGACTGCAAAACATTTAAAATTTTATGTTCTCCAGGTGAACTCAATCGGACTTTTAAAGAGTTAAAATTCAAAGCATTGATCACTCTCACATCACATGGTCTAATAATTTGATAGATATCTACATCACCAATCTCCAAATCTATTACACATGGATCGCCAATTATTTTTATGTGGATGACTTTTGACTCATCAATGCATTCAGCTATTTCATTAATAAAAGCAAGATTTATGCTTTCAAGCATATCACCACTATATTTTTTTGGCATATCTAAAGAACAGTGTATCTTAACTGGAGGTGCTATTCGTAGATAATCACTGGGTTCAAAAATTTCAGAACAGTTTTCAAATGTCATACAATCAATTAAGAAACATTTATACTCTTCACAATTATCATATTTCATTATAACCCTTGCTCGGTATAATTTTAAATCAACGGTATTTTTTGCGATTACTATTTGACCCTCTTCAGGATACAATACAGGAATCCACTTTGTCTGATTTTCAATTTCAGTTCTAATATCTTCGCCAATTTTATAACTTGATTCAGTTTCAACATAAAAATGATTTATGGAGAACACAGGTTCAATGCAGACAACCGCTTTTCTAGAATTCGGAAATATTTCGTTTAACAGTTTAAATTTTTCAAGATTTATTGGATCATCAGATATGCTAGGAACAATACCATTCCAAACTAAATTGTATAAAATATCAAGAACATTATTTCCATTACATGATAATTCAACTAAATATGGATCATTATTGCTTAAAAAAGTAGCAGTTATTTGATGAGAACTGTAGAATTTATAAATTGAATCAAATAAATCTAGAACTGATAATTTGTTTTCATCTTCTTTTGATACATTCTTAAAATAACAACAGTAAGCCATTGGTTTAACACTGATAAGTTTTTTTGGTAGAGTTTTAAAATCTGTAACTAATACATTAGATACCCCAAAATCAATATAACACACATAAAATCCCAATTCAGTTATGCTTTGAACTCTAGCTCTATACCAAAAGCCATTGTAATCACGAGCAGCAATTAAATTTCCAACTTTTGGAAGCTTCTTTGATGTTGATTCATATTTATCTAATTCTGAACTGATTGATTGAATATATTCAAAATTTTCAATATTCTGTACATGAAAATATTTTAATGAATTTATATTTGAAATATATACATTCCAAACATCACCTAGAACAGGTTTATTTACAATTGGACTGTGTTTAATATTAATATAATTTGTTGAATCTAATTCTTCAGATTGTGAGTTTTCAGCAGATAACAAAGTGGAAAATGCAGTCGTAACCTTATCTATGTCACTTTTTAATACACCAACCATATTTTTAGAATTATTTAAATTTTTTTGAAGGTTTTTTATTCAGAAGTAATTATTTTCTTCAATACTCCTTACTATCATATTATTTCTCGTTCTTATATAAAAACATCAAATACTTAAAATTTACCACTTTATTATATCTGAGAAATGTATAAAACTTTACTACATTTTATGTTTATATTTATATTGCTTAAATACATTTAGTACTGGATTATTAATTTTACCAGTGTAATTCATAATCCATTACATTTGCAATAAGATTCTTCACGATATATGACTTGTGTATATCTTAAAATACTTTAAAACCAGCTTTAACTTCTTCAATAGATATACTCAACTTATAGTGATTTTTTCAATTATTTGTAATCTCAAAACTGTTACTGGCCTAAAACATAATTAAAATCATTTAATTATATACTTGTTATGATTTAATTATAATTTACTGTTGTATAGTATAACATTACTTATTCAATATTAAGGTAAATTTAAAAAACAAACAATGTAAAATGGAAGACTAAATAAATGTACACATTTTTTACAAATCATTAAATATATATATGTATATACAATAGTGTTGTAAACAATAATTTCAGGGGCAATTGCCTCAGATTTTTTCTTAAATAGTAGGTTGGACAGTAGTCAGTTATTTCTTTAATTATAAATGTCTATAGTACTGGGTGGGTTCTTGGTTAGGGGTTAGGCTTAAAGTAGGAAAAATAATTCCAAGGAAGACTAATGTCTCCATACAGTTTTATGTGTACCATGTATCATTTTATGTATAATGTCTAATGCATATAGTATATATAATATTATATAAACATTAATTGTGTAACATACTCATCCCACTTTTAATCCTGAATAATGTTCAAATTTGTAATTTATTTCATGAAAAATTTAAATCATTTATAATACTTTTTTTAAGAATAACTAATATTTTATACAAATTGAATATTTTGAAAGAAAATATTTTTTTTTTCAGATAATATTATGTTGTAAGTAGTGGTTGTCTTTTAAAAAAACTAAAGAAATCAGTCAGACAAAAAATATTTACACCATAAAAATATATTGTTTTTAGTACTTAAAATTGTAAAAGAAAAAATTCAAATTCTACGCGTGATGAGATGAGTAAGCTTAAAAAATCACATATTCACACTTTATTTATATAAAGCTCAATTTTACATAATATTATTACATTATCGGCTAATTGAATATCTATTAACCACAGTATAGTAATTTACAATAACTAATAAAATCAATTATTTTTATACATATATTAGATAATCCATAATTTGTATTTTTAACATTTGATAAAAGTAAAGTGGCAATTAATAAAAAAACAATAAAAATCAAGATTTAATTTCAAAAAAATTCTAAATTATATTAACTAATGTTTGGTTATAATCGGAGCGTTTTGACATACCTTACGAATAATTTGTTAAAGGAGACACTTTTTAACCACTATTGAATCCCCCCACTTTAACCCATGATCCTTGGTTTATTTTTTTTACCCCTGGAAAATTTTCAGTTCTCCGTGCTACTGTATATATACATATATTACAGCTCACACAATAAACTAAATATCATACTATCAAATATTTAGTTAGAAAAAACAGAAATTAGATCAGATAAAATTTTTGTGAAGTAAAAATAATTATATTTATTATTAATTATTACATTTGGAAATAATAGATTATTTTTTTTCTTAAACTCAATTAAGTAGTAATAATTTTTTGTTAATAAATAGATAAAAAAATAACAATATCATTATTTATTTTTTCATAGTCCTAGATATTTTTTTTTAACTAAATATAAATCAATACATCCTATAAACAATAAATTTATAAACTTGTCTTATTAAACCACAGTCTAATAAATTATTGTAAGAAATTATATATATTACAAATATTTTCTTCTGTTAATTTATTTATAGGTACTAAATAAATTGCCAGACCAAATAAAAAATGCCAGTATTTTACACAACTTGATTAAAGGACATTAATTATAGACACATAACATGAAAATTTATTTTAAATTATAGTAGGTAGTTAATTTTCACTATCAAAATATCATAATTTGCAGAATTTTTTTATAAATGTGATTCAAATTTACATATTACACTTAAATAAGAACGCAGAATATACTGAAAATAAAACTTATTTCATATGAGTGGAATGTCGAGATTGCATACGTATATACTATAATTCAATAATAAACTCAGTAGGTACTTTGAATTAATATCAACAAAATAATCATAGCACTAAATAGTTTCAATTATAGAATGTATACGTACAGAAACTGTAGAGTGTCATCAGTCCTGGTGAGTTGGAATTAAGTTGACTTTCCATCTTATTAATTTAAGTTTAATAAATATTGCAATTTGCAATGGATCTAAAATATGTGTAGGTAATGTAAGAATATATTTGATGTGTTTCACTTTTATGTGAAAGAATTCATGATGTAACTCATTCATTAATACTCAATATAAAAGTAAAAAATGACTGAAATGACCAATAACAGTCATAATAATATATGATATCCAGAATCCAGATTATTAACTAAAAGTAAAACTATGAAAAAAATCTTAAAAATCGTAAGCGAACGAGCACTTAGCACTGTGATAGTGGAATCACAAGATTGAAGATAGCAAGTGGCCAAGTGGCGAGTAACAAACGATTTAGGCTGGCAACCGGCAAGACAACAGGTTACACAATTGTAGTGAGTAGTGGAAACGTGGAATTGAAGTTATCACGTGTAGTTCAATGGTGGTGGGTCGTTACTTGTTACCATAGACCAGCGGTTCCCAAATTGTGGACCGCGGTGCCCCTAGGGGCACCGCGAGCACTTTCTGCGGGCACTGTGGTCTACGTTTCATTGGTTCTCAATGAGTACTTTTTTTGTTCTATCTTTCATATTATATACAGCAGGGCACCGTGGCTAACTTGGTGCCCCTAAAAGGGCACTGCGGAAAAAAAAGTTTGGGAACCGCTGCCATAGACATGGGCGCCCATTGAGGGAGGGAGGGGGGGGGCAAGACAGGGCACTTGCCCCCTCTGGAAAAAAATATTACCTTATTACCGAGGTAAATTATTTGTTGAAATCACTTTTAAGATATGAAATAAATATAAAGATATACTCATTATTATCGTATATTAACATCATAGATAGGTCGTATTCTGTAGTCCGTATAACCTATACGTAAAATTATTTATCGCAGATAATTTGTGGTTAATCTATAAAGATCACAATATAGGTACTACAAATATTTTAACCTAACGCAAACAAGGATACTTTCATTCAGGATGTCATTAATATGTTTGGAATAAAACGAAGAAATTTACAGTTCTTATTTACTGATACCGAATAATATACTAAATTATATTATTTAATTTCTATTTTTTTATATACTTATTAAAATTATTATTTATTAATTTATTTATTCATATGGCAATTATTATATATTTATTTATTTATTCGTATGGCAATTATTATTAATACACTATATATATATATGTAAATAAAAATATGCATGTATAGTGTATACATTTATATGTGAAAAATAACATTAAATCTTTATTATCTTACATTCGAACATTTTTTTATTTTGACCCCCCCCCCCTAAAATATTACCTATGGGCGCCCATGGCCATAGACCTTATATTATAGTATAAGGTCTATGCTTGTTACTACCGAAATCGGTACAATGTAAAGATTACATAGATGGAACAAGTAGTAACGAGTACATTAATCGGTTTACTGTCGTTACATTAACATCGGTACAAAGTTTCCAACTACAAAAATATGATCCCCACCAGTGGCGGTACCAAGCATAGAGTAACTCTATGTATATATTATTTATGAGGTCTTAAATCACACTGTGTAGTAGTAGGTACTAACTACTAGGTATGTACCACCACCTTACCCCTGATTGTAAAAATCAAAATTCGTGTAGTACGATTTAATCTGTTGAACGCGTACATTTTCAGCACCACAAAGTATTTATTAGAATTATTCGTTAATAGAATGGTTGTGAGATTTTTACTCTCTTCATGGTGGTGGGTAAAAAAAGATGAAGAACCGCTTTAAAACACGGAAGATCTCATAAATATACATGGAGTAGAACTGTAAGTCTGTTTTTATTTAAATAATTTTTTCAACTCAATCTTATATTATCAAGTGTTAACTGTTAGACAACAAGCTGAAGAAGAAACCCAAGCGGAAGTTGCAGTTAAGGACTACGGAAGCGAGGAAAGTTCCTATAAAGACAAGGGTAGTTCTAATAAAAACGATGACGGAACAGAAGTATTGAGCACTTCAGATCCTGAACTCGGTAACGCATTTGATTTAGGTTGAAGGTTCATGTGAGAAGATACTAGAATAAATTGGTACATTTTGTTGAAATATTCTGAACTTTTGCAATCTCCTAAATAAAGATTGTAACATAGTATTAAAATTTTAAATTTATAATATTGCCACTGCCACCTACTTTTGTCGTTAGATGGCGCTGCCATATATGTTGTCAATTTTTCTAGTTAGACGAATGAGATAGGTAACCGAAATGTAATAATAAAAAAAAAATATTGGTAATTTTTAATTTTAGTTAATGTAAATGTTACAAATTAAAGTATATTATCCTAATACATGTGTTTTACGTGAATATGGAATATTAATATCATATTATATTGACTACAGCGACCCGTCAAACGACAATATAGCAATACCATTCTACTACCTTAAACTATTTTTACCAATTTCTTAAGAGAGATAATTTTTTAATTAATCCATTTAATTTTTGAATTTATGGTCCGAATATAAATTATAATAATTATTAAGTACTTAAAGAAATTATAACGGCCGAACCGGTCTACGTCCTCAGGTTCCTTATCTCTAATCAAGTATTCTCTATTTAGCCCATGCAGCATATTATATAGTATCATTATGATAAAAAAAAATCATATCACTATGTTCGAATCTTGTATTAACATTTGTCTTTTAAAGATTTGAAATGTAATTATCATAAATTCATAATAATATAACACATTTAAATTATAAAGTATACATCTATTACCAATATTTTTCAACGTCTATAAGTATTTTATTTTTTTTTTTATCCACACAGTAAAATCATGTATTCGTCAATTGTATTTCGTACTTGTCGTATTTCACAGTTCAGAAGTTGTTTGAACAAAATAAATACTCAACATCCTTTAGCCACATCAGTCTTTCACAAACACGTAAGTACTGACAGTTATACAGTTTTATAGTTATTAATATTAATGTGTGTATCTATCCAATTATAGTCATCCACTGAGTCCAAGATTAACAGTATCAATGTTCAGACTAAAGATGAAGAGTGGAAAAACATCTATGTTGGAACGTTAGGTCCACGAATCCGTAACTTGAAAATTGTATCATTTATGACTAGTGCTGTGGGTTTGTGTATTCAACCAATGGTAATACAAAAGGCTGCAGAAGTGGGCAGTAGCTTAGCTGCCACAATTGGTGTATGTACTATTGCAGGATTTTTCACATTTATTACACCAGTACTTATTCATATGGTAACAAGAAAATATGTGACATCTATTGAATATAACGAAAAAAATGATGAGTACAATGCCACTATTATTTCATTCTTCTTAAAACCTAAGAAGGCAAGTATAAGTAATATATTTTAGCTTAAGACTACTTCCTCAAAGAAAATAGATATCTTAACATTAATACGTTAGCTATGTATTAAATTCAAATAATATACTAGTTGTAATGCTGAAAAAAATTGTGATCTTAAAAATAAAATGTTAAAAGATTAAAAATTAATATATCAATATACGGCTTGAAATTGATTAATACTTGTAGAAAATTAAATAAAAAACTAATAGCTTTATTGTAACATTGATAAAATTGTAGTGCATTAATAGCAAGGTACATTATGCCAATTTTCGTCATTCAGCATCTATGAACGATGATAATTAATGCAACTATTGCAATTTGGCATCATCTGCGATGAATATGTTAATATTATTTTAAGTACTTATTTATTAACAACAAAATATAAGATATTTAAAAAATGCACTTTTTCAGTGAATATAAATAAGCTATTTTTCTTATGAGAATATCAGTGTATGATTTGTTTTCTATTTCTAACCAGTACGTGGTATCCCTTTATTTTTTTGTGTTAAGATTTTGTTTAACTATGTGAATAGTACATTTTTTTTTTTTAATAATAATTGCTAAACAAACTAATTGTTTTTATCTATATTGATAATTGTCTTAAATTTAACTAAGTATGTTAATTTTTCTGTTAAACACAAATTTATATAATTAAAAATAAAGGAACTTCCTTTTTTTAACATAAACAATTGTATTCACTCTGGTTAAATTATTAAAACAGATATCTAGTGATATTTTTTTTTAATTAAACAAATAAATCATATTAACTCGATCTCTAACTTGAATTATTTAAGTTAAATCAATGTTAAAAATTTTAAATTATGAGTTAATAATCAAGAAAAAATATAGTTATTATAAAACATTTACATGAAGAAAAATTTTAAATTATCTTAATTATAAAGAAGTTAATTAATTTTTTTTTCTCCTTGTTTTTATCAAATAATAGTTAAGAAATGTCCACTAATTTTTGCTAACTACTTAAATATTATATAAAAATACATATTATTTTATTTGTATTACACACTAGCTGTTGTAGTGGTCTAAGTGATTATGAAGTAGTAAACAATTTAGTGTTAATTAAATTTAGGAATATTTATAACTATATGGAAAAACCTAAGTTATTACTTGTTAATTATAATAATGGATAATTTAGCTAATTAAGTTATTTAGTTGATTAGAAAAATAACTGACTAGTTAAGTTTAAACGTTTAAAATATAACTTTTTAACTAGTCAATGATTATCTTTACTGATTCACTATTGGAAAAATTTACTGTCTATTTTATAGTGAAAATTAACTTTAAAAAAAATGTAAAAATTACTGTTAATAGTTTAACTTATTGCAGTAAGACTGATTAAACAGCTATATTTTTAATTATAAGCAAATATTTAACTAAAATTATTTATTTTAATTTCAGGTGCAATTTAAACCATTTGAAGTAAGATTACCTTTGACACAGAAGTTAACAATCACATTTTATGCAAAAAATTGCCCTCTATTCGTGGATCCACAAGCATTTGATGACGTAATGCATTATCAACGTATATTAGGTTATGATAAGCCTTTTACATTTGAAAAAGAAGATGATGTTATTAAAAAACCTATAGTTAAAGCTGCTAATAAGAGTTAAATTTAAATTATACTTTATAGTTGTTTCTTATTATTTTATTGAATCTGTTTTGTAAATACATGCAATTTCAATTTCTTACAATGTGTATAATTTTGACTTTCTTATTCTAGACATTTTGTGGTAATTTTATTAGTTGCTTATAATATATAAATATTTAATGCAATTTCTTAAAAGCCGAAAACACAAAACCTAACTTATTGTTAGTATCATTTAACCTTCGAAAAACCACCATTACTGGTTGTAGGTGGATAAAAATTACTATATAAAAACATATTACGTGTGGGTGATAAACACATGTTCACGTGCCAACTCTGCCCATAAAGAATATTGGAATATCAATCACAAAACTTATGGCCTATAGGTATTTATAGACTATAATATTAAATAAAAAAATTGCATCTAAATATCAAATGTACTTATATTATATAAAAATAATAATTACTCAGATGAGGTCATTATGGACTTCTAAGCCAAGTTTATGTAAGTGGCATACACATGAGAGTGGGGGGTCAATATGTGTTTAAAAAATATGGAACATAATATAAATATTTATTATATTCCCGCCCATGGATAATCTCTGTGTATGTCATAATAAATATATTACACTTAAATATTTAATATTTCTATTTTACACATTTTATATGGTAATTATTGTTTATAGTTATAATTTTACTCAAGTATGCATGATTTTTTTTATTTAATACAAAACTTGAATGAATAGTTTTTATGGTAAATACATTATTATTTATTATATTTTTAAACTATATGTTAATAGCCAATGCTAAAATGTAACATGTATATGTTGTATTATTATCTAATATTACAATTAATATGCTCATAATTACAACTATATAAAGTAATAATTTTAAAGGATTTGTAGTCCCCCCCCCCCCAAAAAAAAAAAAAAAAAAAAAATAAAAATAAAATAATACAAGCAATATAAATATATGATAATAAACTTTATTTTGTAGAAAATAATTTCTAGCAAACCTTTAAAAACTAAAAAAAAAAGTGTGATAAAATACTAAAATACGAGTATATGTTTAAAATCTCTACTAGTAATACCAATCCTATTGGGAATTAAAAAAAAAAATTTTAAA